CTCTGGCGGTGGCAGTGTTACTGTTAGGGTTTCAATAATTTTTAATTTTACATTTTTAAAATTTAAAATATTAAAAGAGGGGTATTTTTGTCTACTATTCTGAAAATGGTCCTATGAAACTTGTGTTTCGTTTATAGTCCTAAATGTGCGATTAACGTTGCTATTATTCCTATTTGAGGCATTAACTCTTTGATTTTCTACAAGGTTCTTCCACTCCCTAAACTTCACAAAGACATCGAACTTGTGCTCAACGAGACAGACTCACACCTTCCTAGAGAAATCATCAATAATGAACAGAAAGTGCCTTTTACCCCCGTGGGTAGAGACACTAGCAGGACCCCACACATCATCATGAACATACTCTAACACAGAGGTACACTTAGTGGGATTAAGGTAAGGGGAAGAGGGGAATGTAACCTTATGTTGCTTGCGTAACACATAAGATTCACAGAAAGGGATGGAGGACACAGAATCCTTACCAAAACAACCAGATTTATTCAAAATCTCTAATCCCTTATTACTCATGTGTCCTAATCTATTATGCCACAAAGCAGTTTTATCAGAACTAATAACATGAGTAGAATCACAAAAAGGCTGAACATGGCACACATACAAGTTATTCACCTTCTTAGCTTTGAACAAAACAAGGGAAGTTTTCTAAACTTTCATGCACCCATTTCCCCATTTACCCTCAAGCCCACTACCCTCAAAAGCAGCGACAGATCAGGAACACGTCTAACATTTTTCATAGTAAACACAGTCCCATTATCAAACTTCAAGCATACATCACCCACCCCATATATTTTGCATTTCTTATTATCAGCAAGAGACACGAAACCATCATTGCAAGAATCATAAGAAGAAAACGGGGGTCTAAAAGGTGTCATATGATAAGTACAACCAAAGTCAATCAACCACTCATTTTCAGTCATGCTACTCAACACAGAATTGGCAAAATCACAAACCATAAAAACTTCTTAATGCAAGTTATTATCATCTACCACATTAGCATGTTTAGACTTCTTAGGGTGAGGACAATCCTTAATAAAGTGGTTAGAATTTCCACAATTATAGCACTCTCTCTTCTTAATTAGACTTACCTCTCTTCTTACCCAGGTCGTTATTATTGTTTTTGTTCTTATCGTTGCTGCCCTTCTTATGGTTTCTAGATCTACTCTTAGACCTACCCCTCACAAGCAACTCTTCACCAGAGTCCCTAGATTGACCGTTACTACCCCTCGAGTGTTTAAGGTCTAACTCCTTACTTCTTAATCCATTAACGACTATGTCTAATGAGATATCGTCTCTACCATATTTTATGGCAGATTTTACATCATTGTAAGAGTCAGGGATGACATTAAGCAACACTATGGGTGTGTAGTCATCTATGTGTTTATCACCGGCTTGCTTAATGTTCTGAATAAGCTTTTAAAACACATCTAAGTTCTCATCTGTCTTTAGTCAGGTCAAGCCTAAATCTAAAGAACTTCTCAAGCAAAAACAATTTACCAAGCAAAAAAAGTATCGGTATAGAGACTATCTAACTTGTTCCACAAATCCTTTGCAGAATCTATAATACCCACCTTCATGAGCATTGAATCAGAAAGGATTAGGTATATAGAGGAACAAGCAGTTTCATTCATTTCAACGCGCTTTGCAGTATCCTCATAGTCTAAATAGAGACCAGTCACAGATATATATACTTTCTGTTGGATCAACAAGCATTTGATTTTCTGTTTCTAGATATCAAAGCCTGTCTTTCCGTTAAATGGAAGCATGCCATATTGATTGACAGACATCTTAACAGGAAAGCAAGCACAACACGCAAGAGAGTAAATAAAATTTATCAGACTACAAATAGTACGAAGCAACTAGCACGAACAAGCCAAGAAGACCAATGAACACAAAGTTCGGGTACAATCTCCTTGTTCTTTCGTACCAACGCAGATAAATAACTATTTACTCAACAAACAGATTAGGAATTAATTATAACCTATAGGACTATGAGTTGTACGAAGCAACTAGCACGAACAAGCCGAGAAGACCAATAAGCACAAAACTTGGATACAATCTTCCTGTTCTTTCGTACAAGCACAAATAGGCTAAAATTAATACAACAAGCAATGAAACGAGATTAAAACTAACCCAGACAGAAATATATATTCACAACTTCGGACAATAAATATCCGAACAAAATTTTTTTAACCGGAAATTTTATCCACGAATTAACAGACATAAAATCAAATTTCAACACGAGATTAAATCTACACCGGACAGAAATATTCACAACTTCGGATAATAAATATCCGAACTAAATATTCTTAACCGGAAAATTTATCCACGATTCAACAAGCAAGTAATCGTAATTCAACTTTAAATTAAAATGAATGAAATATGAGCAATCACACAAAGGATTTAGCAAACGTACCTGGGGTCGGGCACAACTGGCATCCTAGACCACGTAGATCAACAACGGGGGTATGGGGAAAAAATTAATCTGGTGGCACTCCGGTACACCAAGTATAGTTTATAGATAATTTACCTGAGCGGGGCCTGAGGTTGGGTTACCCCGACTTACCGTAGTCAGCGTGGGCTGCTGTAGAGCACGAACTGGATGGCGGCAGTGGACTGGACCAATGGCAGCACCCCTTGGACGGCATGGCAGCTGTTGCAGTGGCTCCGGAGTTGGTCTGGCCGACGCTTCTGGGCACTGGGAACCACTGGACGATGAAGCCAGCTCTGCAGGGACCTTCGACGACGGTGATGCGGCGGCTGACGGCAGCGATGCGGCGGCAGACGGCGTCAGATGGCGGAAAAGTCTTTGATACCACTGTTGAATCCGTTTTCAGCTCAGGTCTCACCAAATATCATATCCATAAACGATAATACTCTGCCAAGTTAAATATCATATCCAGAAGATGAGAAGTGTGACAACAACCAGCAAATCTAATCTGCCAAGGGTTCGTTCGAGCACCGCTCAGGGGAGAAGAGGGTTTTATTTTTGGTCCACACGATTACAGAAGGGGCGAACGATATATATAGGCCAAGCTCAAGAACAATTATGGTATTCTTACCATAACAAGAGATACGCAACTCAATCGTAGAAGGAAGGTAGAAGTAAGATTAAACGCGTCAAGGGAGAGCTACGAACAAGGAGATAGAGTAAATGGATCGGGTACACTTTGGGCTTACAAATAGATGGACCAATACCCAACAAGACAAAAGGAAACCCCTCCCTCTTTCCCTCATCATTGTACTTTGATCAAGGCATCCTAATGAGAGAAAAGAAGCTCTCAAACTCATCCTACATAGCTCCAAATTAGATCTCAATAAAACAAGGTCCAAGGAAGGTGGTTAAGAAATGAAAAAGTGAAGAAAAAGCTCGAAGGATTAAGGTGATGATCCTATAACAACTTTTTCTCCTTTCATCAAGTATCATGTGACCCATATATCATATGAGGATTCCCTAGGATTGTTCTAAATGTTTAGAAGTGTAGAATGAGGGACAGGAAGGTAGTTCTAGGTCCAAGAACGAACTTAGAAGCCAAAGTGAACGATTCACCAAAAAATAACCTTTCAGAGGTTATTTGTTTTGATACGGGTTTTGTGATGTTAAAACCTTGTTAGGAACTTGTCTATGGTGTTACTAGTGCTTTCACAGAGTTGAAAGAGTCTCTGGAGTTATCCGCCAGAGTTCAACGAAGTTCGCCGGAGCTTCGTATTGCTCAGATCAATTATAGTAATACCTTTAACTGGCCTCCAAACCGTTACCATAGTATCTCGAAAGGTAGTGAATCGTACCGATTTCTCTGAAGTGATGGTCCCGACGAGAGCTAAATTGCCATCCTCCGTGCCCGATGCCGTGGCTTCCACCAAGATGGACTCGTCTTCATTGTCCATCTCCATGTTTCCGTATGCTTCGGCCAACCTCTCCACTTCATCTTGTTCTGGAAACGCCGCCGCCCCCTCCTCCAATTTCGACCAGAGCCTTCTGTTTCCACACCCGCCCAGAAGGTACTCTCCTCTCCCACACCCGTTCGCAAGCTCAATCGCCACAAACTGGCTACTCCTTTTCGACTGAGCGAGCTAGCCGTAATATGAGCCTCATCGAATTTTAGCCAAACTGACTTCTTTACGCCTTCTCCAGACGACACCCGCCGTCCTCTACGTACTTTTGCTCCTTCTGTGGAAGTGTTCAAACTCGCCGCCTTACCCTAGGCACTCTTCCGCTTTTTTTATATATAATTTTATTCATTTTAAAAATCTGATTTGTTTATAATTTTAATAATGTATTCCCTATTAATTAATACTCAAATTTGTGCATTCACCCAGGTCAAAATGATCCCGAACTCCTAAATAATAAAAAAGGGACAATTTGAGTTTGCAACCTATTTTATTGTCCAAATTGGACTTTACATATTATTTTTGAATTTTTTTTGTATTTACACTCTAATCACATATGAAAATACAAAAACGTCCCTCGATCAGGAATATATTGAAGGCCAACATAATTGTTAACAAGGGCGAAGCCAGGACACTGGGTCAGTACAAAGAATATTTTTGAGAAAAATTTTACACGAAATTTTTTACAAAAAAAATCAAGGCCTTTTTTAATTTGAGGTGGGCCAGGGCCTAGACTGTCCCCTCTATCTCCGCCCATGATTGTTAATGGTGGGACATTTTTGTGATTTCATACAGGGGTTAAGAATTCTTTAAAAGGGGAAATTACCCTAAATAGGACTATAAACATTTGTATATTCCAAATTAGGACTATCATGTTTTTATTTCTGAAATAGGACTAATTATTGCCGTATTTTGGCAGTACTAGACTTTAAACATGGCAGCATTTTCCAAACTTGACAATAATTACTCATATTTTGAGAATAAAAATACGACAGTTCTATTTTGAAATTTTCAAACTTTTTTACTCCTATTTCGGTGGAATTTTTCCTTTTAAAGAATGAGGAACAAAGATCAATTTGAAGAATAAAATGAAGAATAAAATGAGATTGCTCAAATTAGTGACAAAAGCCCTCAAATTACTCAAAAAGCCCAAGCAAAGCAGTGCAGCAAACAAGTTGAAACCTGCTGCCACTCGCGCAGGTCAGCGTTCACCACTTCGCGGGAAAGCTCGGAATCTGCCGAATCGCCCCTGCAATTCTTTGCTTCGCTTCGCGCCTCTACCGTCGCCTGCTCCCGAGTCCGCCTTGCGCTGCTGCGGCCTCCGCCCCTCCCTGCTCGCTGAGTCTCTGATCTTCCGATTTTCAGGTATGTACTTTACTGTCAGTTTTATTTTTGTTATATTTTGATTTAGTTCAACTTCATGCCTCTATTTCTGGAGTTTGAGGGTTTTTGTGGTTGTGGATTCAGAAAGATTGCTCATTTTAGATAAATAAACTCATTCAAACATGAAAAACACTAAACAAAACTATCCTTGATCATTCTAGACCAATTTAAAGGCTATAAAAGGGTTTAAGAAAAATAAAACAATAAAGGGATAAGAAAAATTTTGAGCCTAGGTGATGTGGATAGAATCCCCATTTGGTCAAGAGTACACATGTTCACAATTACGCTCCTTTTGAATCATATAATATCACTAATTACAATTTACACACACTCATATATGTCACACACACACACACACACACACACACACACACACACACACACACACACACACACACACATATATATATATATATATATATATATATATATATATATATATATATATATATATAAGAGATCAAATACAAACCATGCATAAAATATTAACCTACAAACTCAATAATATGCAACACTTTGAACTTCAATATGCAATACAAATAATGTGAAGATGCACATTGTGAACTTCAATATGCAATACAAGTAATATGCAATACTTTGAACATCAATATGCAATACAAATAATATGCAACAATTTGAACTTCAATATGCAATACCAATAATGTAAAGATTCACAATTTGTTAAAGTTTGTGGGTTAGCATGGGAGGACTAGTTTGTATGTGATCGCCGAAGCACCCCTACCTATACCCCGTAGCCACCCCAACCTACCCCAAGCTCCTACACTACCCACCCCTTCTCTCATACCCTTTACCCCTACCCCCACATCCCACCCACCCCTAACTACCCCTAACTTCCCACCCCCTACCCTCACCCCTACCTCTCACCCCTGCCCCATACATACCCCCATCCATATACTACCCGACTCCACCCTACACACCCTGGCCCTCACCCCTACCTCTACTCCACCCCTAGTAACTATCACAGGGCCCCTAGGCCCTATCCCCACTCAGGGTAGGGTAAGACCATAAGGTGTATGCGGTTGAGGGTGAGGTGGGGTTGGGAGTGGTAGTAAGGAGGGGGTAAAGTCCTTGAACGTTATAATTGACAGTTTAAAGTTAAACCATCGTTCGGTCTCGTGAAGTAAGCATACATTATATTAAGCAATTCTTAGTAAACAGCAGGTTAGTAAGACACGTTGTTAGAATAAACAGCACTCACTAGCCTGAAAGTAAACATGCCCTAAGTATGTTGATTTAGGCATCCATGGATGTCCTTGTGTTTAGTGTAAGCACAATTGTCATTCGTTATGCTCTTCCTCTAGCAATTGCTACACGGCAGATATATGGTTTAAATGTGGATCAAATGTATGATATAGATGAAGTTCTATACGTTTAACAAGTAAGTGCTTGTATAACTTCCTCCATTTGTAGACAATCTATGAACTTCCATACTCTAATTGTCCGTGTAGTTTCTCTTTGACAAATGTTTCGGTTGGATGACCGGAAAATTTGTAAACTATGAAACATAAACAACAGAAAGTTGTTAATAGCCGTAAAAGAGTGACCCCTATATCATGTATTTGCATTGGGAATCGGTATGAATATGCATAAAAGTATATCACTCATTAAATAAAATGAAAGTGTTCGGGTGTATGCGATTTTTCTTTCGCAGAATTAGGTGCTATATGCCTATATATAATGTTTCTTCGTGTTGTGTAAAGTTAAATCTTTCTTTTTTACACAGGCGTCCAGGAGCTAGGTGGCTTTATTTCAAAGGAACCCAAGGTCAGCTGTCTTCCTTTTTGCGCAGCAATCCAATAGGCAAGATGCAGTTGTTTCTTTTTATTAGATGCACACATACCAAGAAGAAAGTATCTTGCAATTATATATAGAATGAATTTCTATATTTCACTTTTGTACTTTTCCATAACAAATGAGAACTTTTCTACTGTGCTAAGGTGCACAGCTTACCCTACACGGCTACACCTCTTTTGGCGGCAACTTTGTAAGAATTATTTTGGGACTAAGGCTTTGATGTTGTTGTATATTAATAGATTGATATATATTTTATAACATATAATTCTATTATATTTAATTATTTACTTTGAGCGAGCGTGCGACCAAGTCGCCTAGTTGACTCGTAGATGATGGCCTAGGAGATAAGGCAGTTCAGTAGTGCCGGGCCTCACTTGGAGCCATGACAGCCTTGTTTGGCAATTGGACCCATGTGATACATTTTTTGGTAGAGGGGCTTAGGTGATGGATTCAGAATAGTTGAAGGGCTGATTTCACCCTTTCCCCAAATTTCCTGCTAAGTTTACAGTTTCTCGCTGGTGTTTAACACATGTATTCGTTATAGTGCTTGTTATCGCTGATCGATCTTTAAAAGTTGTATCCACACTCTGTTGATCTAAAAGCTTCAGCAAAGGGCATAAGAGAAAAGATATCATGGGTTATGCACAGCTAGTCATTGGCCCTGCTGGCAGTGGAAAGGTGACAAAAATTATCACTCCAAATATCTTTAGCAGGCAACATTGTGACTCAAAGATCATTTTGAGTTTCTCTCTAGAATTTTCCAATTGTTCGTCTTATGTGTTTTACCATCAAGGACTAAGTATAAATAATTTGCCTGTCACAGTCAACTTACTGCTCAAGCTTGCATCAACATTGTGAAGCCACACGGCGAACAGTTCATATAGTGAACTTAGATCCTGCTGCAGAGAATTTTGACTATCCAGTTGCTGTAGGTGAGTGAGTAAATTATTTCTGAAATTTAGAAATAATATTAAACACTTTTTCAGCCTTGAGAAATGGGTTGTTTTTATATGTGGTGCAGACATCAGGGAGTTGATTTCATTGGATGATGTTATGGAGGAATTGGGTCTAGGCCCCAATGGTGGTCTTCTTTATTGCATGGAGTATCCGATTTCACATTCCTATTATGACAGAGCTCACCTTATGGTTCTTGAGTTTTATTTTGAGCAATAAAGATTCGCTATACATCTTATGATAACCTCATAAGCCATTATCTCTGCTTTACTAGAGTTTCTTAATAATATCTCTTTTGAAGTTCAAAATGTGTATGCCCTTAATGTTGAATTAGACACCTTGAACAAAATTTGGATGAGTGGCTAACTGAAGAGTTGGAAAATTATTTGGATGATGACTACCTAGTTTTTGACTGCCCTGGTAATTGATGTATTTCCATTGTCATCTTTTGAAATGAAATTCTAAGATGTGGCTACTGGGCAATGGCTTCTAGAATCCAAGTGCTTGTTTCACACTTTGACCCACAGGCTACATCTTTTTGCCTCTTTTCATGTTTTTGCCTTCAAAGACTTGGCTTGGGGTCAATATTTTCACTGTTCACATCTATTAAACTTTTTTGCAGGACAAATTGAACTGTTCTCACATGTTCCTGTGCTAAAGAATTTTGTGGAATATTTAAAGAGTAAAAATTTCAATGTCTGTGTAGTTTATTTACTTGATTCTCAGGTATGCACAGGTCGTCATGCATTCTGCTGGTGTCTTTTAGGTAGTTTAATGTCTATTTGAGATTGATCACTGCATTGTAACTTTCCAGTTTATCACGGATGTGACCAAATTCATAAGTGGTTGTATGGCTTCTCTCTCTGCGATGATTCAACTTGAATTGCCTCATGTCAACATTCTGTCAAAAATGGACCTAATCACAAATAAAAAAGGCATTGAAGAGTAAGTCCTCGACCAATTTTGCTTTTATCTGCAACTATTCTTACTCTTTAATTCACAAAACTATGCATTCCTTTCAATCTTGTAGGTACTTGAATCCAGATCCTCACTTTCTTTTGGCAGAGTTGAATAAGCGCATGGCTCCACAATTTCAAAAGCTCAACAAATCCTTAATTGAATTGGTAAGAATGAAGAGACAATTTTTAATAATGATTGAATACGGAATCTGAAATATTTTCATTTATTACAGACTTGGTTCCATCCAGCATTCCATCTATTAAGTAGTGTACTCATTCATACTATGCTATTTAAATAATCCACTAGTATTTGTTTGACAATGCACGTCACTAGTGCTCCTATTAATCAGCATGTTTTTTTACAATCACAAACCTATCGCTATTGCTGTCGATTTTATTTCAATATTATGCTCTTCTTCTGCTGATCCAATCTATACTCACTTTTTGCTTGTGCTTTATGATAGATTCTAGAAAATCATGAAGTAAACTGCCAAGTAACCACCTAGAAGACCAATTTTTTATGCCCTTCTTATTTTCATGTGCTTCTGCAGTTCTGCAAGGCATTATTTCACACACACATGTGTGTATGTATGTGTAATAAAATTGGTTTGTACTTGGCTTGCTCACTGTTTAAGAAATCTTTGTTGCATCAGGTGGATCAGTATAGCATGGTTGACTTTCTGCCTCTTGATTTGAGGAAAGAGAGCAGGTGATTACCCCCCTCCCCCAAGTGATTAGAGATCTCTTAAACCTGGAAAGAGAGGGTGGCAAATGGGTGGGTTGAATAAATGTTACGTAGTAATTTGGATCAAATTGGGATGGATTGGTAGTCTGAAACGAATTTGCGATTCTATTCATTATCCATTAAAAGCTCAATAAAAAAATCCACCCTCGATCCATTTAATAGAATTCATCTATTTCCTTTCATAGTTTAGTGTATATACAGGAATGAGCAGAGAAAAATATCATTAATAAATTTGAAAAGTTTAATGGTTCCCCTGGATTTGGAAGATTTGTTGAAGGCGGCCCAATGAATTCATAAAAGAAAGCGATAGTTGCGATGTTATATTATACTCCCTCTGTCCCATAAAACTTGACCAAAATAAATTGCATGGTTGAGATTCGTGCATAGGAGAGATTGTGCATAGGAGTATTTATTATTTTAAATGGAAATGACAAAGTATTTTGGGACAGGTAAAAGAGGAAGTTGGCAAAGTTTTATGGGACGGAAGGAATGTATATTTCTCTTGCAAGTATGTGAAGCTTAGTTGCGAAAAAAACTGACAGTTATGATGCTCCTCCTATTGCAGTATACAATATGTACTATCCCAGATTGACTGCTGCATTCAGTATGCTGAGGATGCAGATGTGAAGGTCAAAGACTTCGACCCTGAGGAAGCTGGGGATGATGATTAAACCTTCAGTTCTCTTTGTTTTGTTTCAGAGAAACTCAAAATGGCTTTTGAACCCCTCATGGAGGTACCTTCAAGTGACTGACAGGACTGGAATTGTATCCACATCCACCCCTACTGTTGTTAATTCTTAGACTTGTGGCTTATTACTCCCCACGCTGATATAGAAGTGCTCTCATGTTTGTTCCTCTCATGATGCCTGACATATTTTGTAAAATGGATTGCCATTGAAAGCATGTAGTTTTACTTGAGGCAAAATTAACACTTAAATATCTGCTTTTACCCATTTTACAAAAAAAATGTGAATGCCAAGAACAATAACATACTCTCAAATTCTGAAGTCCTTCACAAACATGAACTGCTACTTAGTGGTATTAATGTCCGCTATGTTCTGTTTTTTGTAAAACTACTAATAATAGACTGAGAATTGAGATGACTACAACAAACAACATCCAAGCCTTAGTCCCAAAAGATATTGAGGTCGGCTAACATGAATCGATACATGATATCATCACCAAAAGGAAAAGAAAGGAAATAAAATAAAAAAGAAGATATTATAAAAAGATAATATAAAACGAGATGAACCACTTCAAACGCTCCTAACCCACGTTTGTTTGGGTCTTCTTCTCCCTCTCTTCTCTCCCTCTTCTCTACACATCTCAACTCGTCTGATAGGTGCATCATTCGGTCTTCTACGCACATGACCGAACCATCGTAGGCGTGACTCCCGTAACTTGTCTTCAATAGGTGCTACTCTCACCCTTTGTCTGATTGTCTCATTCTTCATGCGGTCCTTCCTAGTATGCCCACACATTCAACGCAGCATGCGCATCTCTGCCGCACTCATCTTTTGAATGTGACATTGTTTCACCGCCCAACACTCTATGCCACACAGTAATGCAGGCATAATTGTTGTCCTATAAAATTTACCCTTCAGTCTAGTCGGCATACCTCGATCGCATAGAAATCCTGACTCACTCTTCCATTTCATCCACCTTGTTCTGATTCTATGGGATACATCTCCATCTAACTCACCGTCCTTCTGAATTTTGGAGTCTAAGTAAGGGAACATATCGCTGACTAGTATCTCCTTACCATCCAGAGTAATTCCGCTATTACCATCCTTCTACCTCCACCAAACTTGCACTTCATGCTGTGTCTTGCTCCGACTTAGTTTGAAACCCTCATTCTCCAATGTTTGTCGCCATACTTCCAACTTTGTTTTAAAACCTGATTTCGTCTCATCAATCAATACAATATCGTCGGCAAACATCATGCACCATAGTATATCGTGTTGAATTGACTATGGCAAATAAGAAAGGGCTCAGAGCCGATCCTTGGTGCACTCCGATAGTAATAGGAAACTCTTCAGTCCTTCCTACACTAGTACGGACACTTGTAGTACAACCCTCATACATATCCATGATGATGTCGATATACTTGCGTGATATGCCTTTCTTAGTTACGGCCCACCAAAGAACTTTTTTGAGGTACCCTATCATATGCCTTTTCTAAGTCAATGAACACTAAATGCATATGTTTAACCAGTTGTTGATGTCCGAATTGAGATGACTAATGTATATTTTTCTGAAATTAGTGTTGTTGATGTATGAATTTTGAACCTTTTAGAACATTAAGGATTAGAAAATGCATAAGTTTAACCAGTTGTTAACTTTTCCAATATGAATAACTTCTGTAAAGTGCTTGAAATATGAATTATTGGTGTCAAAATTTGGGACCAAAATTGAACTTTATCCTAGATTATCCCACTCAGTCGAGGATAAAAAATCTTCGATGCTCAAACACTCTTGTCGCTTTGGTCGTCGACTCGTCGTGCTTCGCTACCTTTGACCTTTCAATTGTCTTGAGATTTCATGCGAGCAATGGGACCCGTATTGATCGGATGATCACAATGTGCAAGGCACATTGTCTGATTGTAAGGCGTTGATAAACTTGCACATTGTCTTATTTTAAGGCGTTGCTAAAAAAGCTGCAAAATGATACATATTGGCTCTGTTTGGTAAATGGCTTATCAGCCAATTTTTGTCTTCTTTGACCATAATTAATAATTTGGGAAAAAGATCAAATAGGCCTCGAACTAACGAAAAAAGTGCAAATATAGAAGGTTTTGTCTGGCCGTCGCCATTTGAGGTGGTTCTCGGTGGACTTATTTGATGAATGTTTTTGAGCATCTTCATCATTAAGTCTAGTTTACTTATACCAAATTTCAGCTAAAAATTTGATCGGGAAGGCAGACAAATGAATATTTGAACATAACTGCGCAGCTAAACAGCGCAGTACATTTCAGAAAATCATTTGACTGTCTTTCCGGTTGAATTTTTATCTGAAATTTGGTATGGGTAAACTAGACTTAATGAATAAGATGCTCAAAAAAATTCATAAAAAATATCCACCGGTAACCGTCCTAAATGGCGACGGCCGGGCAGAGTTTCCTATATAAGGGGTGATTTGCACTTTTTAAGTTAGTTTGAGGGTCTATTTGACCCTTTTCCATAATAATTTTGACTTTGTAAATAGTCAAAACTAATGTGTGGTAAATGGATGATTGATTTATATTATTGGATTCGATAAGCTGAAATCTGAAATGGTGCCTACCCCAGCGTTTAGCAATTAGCATTGGCGTTTTCATTTTACCTTTATTTGCCCTCTTTGTTTGGCGTACTACACTTCAATGATCTCTGTTTTTTTTTCTCTTCGTTGTCTTCTCCTAAAGAAATTCTTTCGCCGACTTCTTTAAATTCTCAAACAAAATTTATATTCTTCCCCTATCTAGAGTAAGGAGGTGTGTATTCTAACTCACCTGAACCCATCCCCAGTTCCCACCATGTCAGTTACTTCTGAAGAAGGAGAAACAACAAGATGTCGACGAGTTGGAGGAAGAGTACCCTTATCCCATTATTTAAGAATAAAGGTGATGTACAAGAATGTGCCAACTATCGAGGGATTAAGCTTATGAGTCACACCATGAAATTTTGGGAGCGAGTGATTGAGCAAAGACTTCGAAGAACTGTGAAGATTTCAGAGAATCAATTCGGCTTAATGCCTGGTCGCTCAACAACTGAGACCATTCATTTTCTTCGGCAACTTATGAAGAAGTATAGAGACGCTCACAAGGATCTGCATTTGATGTTGATTGACTTAGAAACGGCATATGATAGGGTACCTCGAGAAGTTCTTTGGTGCGCCTTAACTAGAAAAGGCATATCACACAAGTATATCAGCATCATCATGGATATGTATGAGGATTGCACTACAAGTGTCCGTACTAGTGTAGGGAGGACTGAAGAGTTTCCTATTACTATCATAGTGCATCAATGATCGGCTCCGAGCCCTTTCTTATTTGTCATAGTCATGGATGAACTTATGAAGTCAATTCAAGACGATATACCATGGTGCATGATGTTTGCCGACGATATTGTATTGATTGATGAGACGCAATCAAGTCTTAAAGCAAATTGGAAGTATGGCGACAAACATTGGAGAATAAGGGTTTCAGACTAAGTCGGAGCAAGATAGAGTACATGGAGTGCAAGTTTGGTGGATGTAGAAGCAATGGTAATAGCAAAATTACTCTAGATGGTAAGGAGATATCGGCCAGCGATATGTTCCGTTACTTGGGCTCAATAATCAGAACATGGTGGGTGAAATGGAATAGTGTGTCATGATTTCTATGCGATCGAGATATGCTGACTAGACTGAAGGGTAAATTTATAGGACAACAATTAGGCGTGCATTACTGTATGGTGTAGAGTGTTGGGCGGTGAAACAATGTCACATTCAAAAGATGAGTGTGGTAGAGATGCGCATGCTACGTTGGATGTGTGGGCATACTAGGAAGGACCGCTTGAGTAATGAGACAATCAGACAAAGAGTGGGAGTAACACCTCTTGAAGACAAGATGCGGGAGTCGCGCTTACGGTGGTTTGGTCATGTGCGTAGAAGACCGAGTCATGCATCTATCAGACGAGTTGAGATGTGTGGAGAAGAGGCAGGGAAGAGAGAGAGAGAGGAAGACCCAAACAGCCGTGGGTTAGGGGAGTCCGAAGTGATATGCTTCTTCTTGGGTTGGATGAGGGCATGACTTTGAAAAGAGCAAAGTGGAGGGCGGGTATTCGTGTGGAGGAGTGATCTCGTATCATCTTTTCCCCTCATCTTTTATTTCCTTGTTTTTTTATCCTTTTATCCTTGTATATGTAAACATTATTTGTATCCTTTTTATTTTATCATTTTTATGTAAATTCGTCTCTTTTTATATTATCTTTTTTATAATAGCTTATCTTTTTTCTTTATTTTCTTTCTTTTCCTTTTGATGGTGATATCATGTATCGATTCATGTTAGCCGACCCCAATATCTTTTGAGACAAAGGTTTGGATGTTGTTGTTACTTTGTTTTATTTGTCATGTAGTTGTATTTATCACTTTTTTAATTTTCTAAAATATGAGTGATTTGTACTCTACAATTAATATTTAATTGTAAGTAACATTGTTTTATAAGCAATAGTTATAAAAATGTCCTTTTACGTCTTTTCACACTCAAACAGCTAATTTGGAGCAACTAATTTACCAAACAATTTTTGACAATAAGCTGACATAACCAGTCAACCAAAATAGCTAACAAAATCAGTTATTGTCAAACTGTTAATAGCGGCTAACACTAACCGCTAATAGCTGATTGCCAAACATTCAAACAAGGTCATTCAATAAGCTATGATGTGCTGAAGCAGGCTATCAGCTAAACATTCAAACAAGGCCATTCAATAAGCTATGATGTGCTGAAGGAGGCTAAAATAGAATTAAGTCATTGATTTAACCAATCGATACCAATCAATTGATTTAAAGAGCAAGAAACATATGAACGAAAGTTACGAAAGAATTCAACAAGGTCATAAAATATCTGAAGAGTGGTCAAACATATAGAATGCTTGGGTGCTCTTGTAAATGAGACCATCAAACTAGGGATGGACCTGGGTACGTTCGGTCCTAGTTCCAAACTGAGACCGCCCGGTCCAAAAATTTTTGCTTCGGCCGAGGAATTGCCTGCCATTTTCCGGGTTAAGGCCTATTCCGGGTACCAGGAAAGTCCAGTTTCAGTCCCTGACTCTGACACGTTATATTTTTTGGATTTTTACCCGGTTTCAAACTTATAAAATGACTGGTTCGGGACCGAAGTCAGGATTGGGACGCCCAGTTCAGTCCTTAAATAGGTGAATCGGGACCGTGAACCTCTCTGGGACGGACAAGGCAGGTCCAGGCCCAAAATCAAAAATTCCGGACCCGGTCCGCTCCTAGTAAGTGTCGAATCAGGTTACGTGTCAGGCCAGAC